TTTATATATATGTATATATATATATACTTACAAAATTGTCCAGTCCTTGCACTCAGATATATACAGCAGTATTCTGCAAATGTAGTTGCCGGGTGCAATAAATAGTCACAACCAAAAATATACAAAATGTAAATATGGGCTAGCACTCACGGTCTTGAAGTAAAATGGTACTTTATTGAATAATCTTAAAATCGATGTTTCAGCCCACGTCTGGGGCTTTCCTCAGGGTCAACAAACAGTAACAATGTGACCATGAGTGCTAGCCCATATTTACATTTTGTATGTACAGTGGGAAGTTGGTTTACAAATTTAATGTGTTCTCCGGGCCGTTTCTTATTGCGAAAACTTTGTAAACCAAAACGTGGTTTCCCATAGGAATGCATTGAAAACCAATTAATCCGTTCTGGAGGTCAGAAAAAAGTCAAAATGAGCTGGCATGGAAACCAACTCACAATGCAGAACACACAATAAAAGGCATGCAAACGATGAAGCTCAGCTCCCTACCTTTCCACAGCTTGAGAAATGCACCAAAAAGTCCCAAAACAACTGCAAACAATTTCCAGAATGGCTCCAAAACGCGATGCAAAAACCGCTCCAACACCTCCAACACCTCCACACTCGATGCCACGTGCTACCCACAGGCTCCAGCATGCAGGGGGCGGTGCTATAAATCTCCCAGGTGCAATGCTTCCTGGGGAAACTTGCTTTGTATTGCGAAAAAAATGTGTAAACCGAGGCATTATTTTCATTGGATTTTCATTTGTAAACCAAAAATTATGTTAACCGAGGCGTTTGTAAAATGAGGTAGCACCAACATGTTCTGCAACATTGTACAGGTCTAAGAGGATATATGTGGAAAAATAGAAATAATGCATGTTATATAAAAATTCTAAATCTTTAAATTCAACCTAATATGACAGGTTCCCTTTAACATAAATGCTACATTATGCATTTAATACATGTTTTATAATAGAGATATTAAATTAAAATACAGTTGCTGTAATGACTGTGCATGTATAATAGTAATAAAATTTGCCAAGCGGACTGTTGGAGGAGAAGAGGCACAGCAATGTTATGCGGTTGCTAAATATGGAGCCGCAGTGAATAGGAAACGTAATTACAAAACCTTAGCAAAAACAGCCGCATTGTTACAAAAGCAGAGTTGGAGACAGGGGCGCATATCGGTCATAGACTGAGGGAAGGAGGCAGCCAGGGGACCGACTGAATGGCATGCTCTGGTTGGGGAGATTTGAGATTTCCCAGATAGAAAGCCATAATTTCACACATATTCCAATGATTTGTTGCCATTGCAATCTATCGCACTATAATAGACTACCCACCTTCTCAGTAATACTTCGCAGCAGTCCTTGTTTTCTTGCCAGGTCTCCTGCACAATCTCCCATGTGGTGCTTAGTGTGAGCAGAAGAGCCAGAGTCTGAGGATGGGGAGTGACATCACTTCCTGCTCTCTCTTCTCCTGCAGAGTGCTCCTGGACTGTAAGCACTAGGAAGATCATTTTCAATGGATTTTCATTTGTAAACCGAAAATTATGTTAACCGAGGCATTTGTAAAATGAGCTAGCACCAACATGTTCTGCAACATTGTACAATAGGTAAGGCAAGACAAACTATTAATTCTAACACAACATGTTAGACATACAGGAACACAACACCATAAGCAGTATCCCATGCTTCTTGTGTGGTTGTACACGTGGGGGACGCTGCTTGTGAACATTAAGGAAGTGTAACATTAAATTTGCTTTATTTCTCTATTTTTTTATGGGGGTAAGGCAACTCAACAGTGTTATTAAAACACTGGTTTTGGTTGGATTAATCCCTTAAAAGTAAATCTGGCCCTGTTTGGGGACCTTGTGGGTATGGGAGCTCTCCCGCAGCTATTCTGGATGCGGGGCAGCGCTCATAATATCTGTGTGAAAGCCACAAAAAGAAGGGGGAAAAGAGTAGTAGCAACCAAAAAACCCCTTCCTCCCCCACCATGCTGGCCTAATTGTTGCTGTTCATTTTCCAATTCACAGCAATTCGGTGTCTAGTGAATAAATGCCTTTATAGGTATATTCGTAAAGGGAGAGAAATGTTATATTAATGGACAATACTAAATCCCAAAAAAGAAAAGAACAGTGAAGAATTGTACACTTACATTGCCTGTCTCAAACACAACTGGGAAAACAGAACAACAGTTTGTCACCTCAGTTATCGTAGAATAAGTAGCAGTTTTCCTCACCAAAATAGGGAGCCAATAACGAGCTGACTTTATGAAGGAAATTTGGGGTAAAACAATCGTGCATCCTGGGATAGATCCCTTTGCTCTTCTTCAGATCCCTAATGAACACTGAAAAAAGTAAAGGATTCTTTTATGAATAACTGTCTACAGGAGTTCATGCAATCACAAAAATCCAACTTTAGTGTTTATGTAAAAACACATAAAGTCGGGTTTATTCTAACCATGCCGAATGCGAAAACCACACTAAAAAAACAGAGAAATAACCTTTAAAGGAGCACTATAGGGTCAGGAACACAAACATTTATTCTTGACCCTATAGTGTTAAAACCACTATCTAGCCCCCTTGGCCTCCCTAAAGATAGTAAAATCTTACTTGTATTCAAGTCTGAAGCTGCTGTGAACTTCCTCTGACCTCTGACATCATCAGAAGTGGTGGCCTGATCCAATCACAATACTTCCACATAGGATTGGCTGGGACTGACAAGGAGGCAGATCAGGGGCAGAGCCAGCACAATTCAAACACAGCCCTGGTCAATCAGCATCTCTTCATAGAGATGAATTGAATCAATGAATCTCTATGAGGAAAGTTCAGTGTCTGCATGCAGAGGGAGGAGATACTGAATGAATGGATGCATTTTAGGCAGTGAAGTTATCCCTAGGCTGTAATGTAAACACTGCATTTTCTCTGAAAAGACAGTGTTTACAGCAAAAAGCCTAAAGGTAATGATCCTACTCAGGGGCGGACTGAGAACCCTCAGGGCCCCCGGGCAAAATAAATCAAGGGCCCCCTTACAGGCCCCACCCATACTCTGCAGCAAGCGCCACCCTTGTCCCGCCTCCATGCACCGCCTCCAGCCACACCCTACACAATCTTTAGACACAAGGAACAAAAGGGCAATAAGCCCTTCGAGGCCCCAGTAGAGACTACAATTGAGGGCTAATGGGCCATGGAGGGGGTCTTTCTAGCGGAGGCTATCTCAGTGTCCTTTAGAGAGTGTGTTAGAAAGAATCCCCTCAAGGCCCCATTAGAGACTACAATGGAGTCTAATAGGCTTGGAAGGGGGTCTTTCTAACAGAGGCCATCTCAGCGTCCATTAGATATCCCTTGCTGGAAACAGTCGCCTCTAGGCCCCAGTAGAGACTACAATTGAGGGATAATGGGCCATGGAGGGGATTTCTAGCAGAGGCTATCTCAGTGTCCTTTAGAGAGTGTGTTAGAAAGAATCTCCTCCAGGCCCCATTAGAGACTACAATGGAGTCTAATGGGGCCTGGAGGGTGGTCTCTCCAACACTCTGGTTCCTATTCACAATATAGCAACACAACATAGCTCACGGATACCTAGGCCAAGTTGGCTCCTCTTACCTTAATTACTGTTGCTGGCTGGCAGTCTGTGGGCTTGCTTGCTGCGGCTGGCAGGCTGTGGGCTTGCTGGCTACTGCCGGCAGGCTGTGGGCTTGCTGACTGCGGCTGGCAGGCTGTGGCTTGCTGGCTGCGACTGGCAGGCTGTGGCTTGCTGGCTGCGACTGGCAGGCTGTGGGCTTGCTGGCTGTAAGCCTGTGGCTTGCTGTAGGCCTGTGGGCTGGCTACTGGCCTGTGGGCTGGCTAACTGGCTGGCTACTGGCCAGCCTGTGGGTTGGCTGGCTGGCTGGCTACTGGGGCACTTGTAGATTATTTAAATAAATAATCCATGCACAATAACCACTACTGCTCCAGAGTAAGTAGTCAAACCATTTAAGAACAGTTTGACAACTTACCTGGGATCTGCTGGGATATGGGGATGTAGTAGGGAATAGGAGCAGTGGTGCAATGTGTGTGAAAGGTTCAGTGTGTGTGGGGGGTGTAGTGTGTGAATGTGTAGGGTGTGTGGGCTGTGTACGTGTGTGGCAATGTTAGTATGGGGGGCTGTGTATGGGGGTCTATGTGTATATGGGTGGGCAGTGTATGTGTGTGTGTGAGGCAATGTGTGTAAATGTGTATGGTGTGTATGGGGGCAGTATGTGAATGTGTATGGTGTGTGTGTGTGGGGGCAGTGTGTTTATGGGGCTAGAGTTCACTCTCACCACTGCGACCACCAGGAATCCCTGGGGGTCACAGTGTTGAGAGTGAACACTAGACCGTAGCTCCAGGGCTAGAGTTGACTCTCGCAA